GGGGGGGGGGGGGGGGGGGGGGGGGGGGGGGGAAAGGGAGGGGGGGAGGAAGAAGGAAGGGGTAACATTACCTGGCAGCAAAGAATAAAGCAGGAATAATTCCCAACTCTGGAAGTTGGCTAACAGAAATTGAGGTTGTAGAATTTGCTGCTTTGCTAGCTGTCTGTTTTCTCCCGACTGAGATCAGACCACAACCTCCTTTAATTTGGAAGATTTTTAATTTGGAAGATTTTTTAAGGGAACAAATGGGTTCATAGGATGGGGTTTTTGCAAGGCTTCTGCACACGGCAGAGTCTGACTTACAAAACATGTAAGAAGATTTTCCCAGATATTGGGAAAAAGTCAGCAAAATATCTTGTATAAACAGGAATCGATCACTGAGAGCATCAGAGTCAAACCGGTGCCTAAATTCTGCACTGAATAAACGCCATTGAAGGAGAAATAAAAAACTTACATTATTTTGAGGCGTCCTTTGTTCTCTCTTTCTTGTAGACATTTCGATACCAAACTAGGTAACATTGTCAGTGTTAGAAGGGGGTGGGGTTTGAATTAATCAATTTAATTCAATTTCAAAGTTATATAGCCCAGAGGATATTAATCTTGCTCTTTCCAGAGAGGCCTTCATGGCACTTCTTAAAACTGATCAGCACTTCTTAAAATTGATCAGCTGATCAGTTTTTTATCCAGCTTTCTGGGAATAAGTGTTTATTTTGATATCCTTCTATTGTTTCTGTTTGTTTTATTTTGTTGCTGTGTGCTTTGCTCTTTTACACTAAAGTTGTAGAGGTTTTATTTCTACTTTCCTGGATTTTATTGATTTGAACTTGGTACTTCGATTATAAATTAACTTTCAGTTAAATAAATTATGATCTGGGTTGTTTTACTTAGCCTTGACGTTTAGCTTTGTTAGGGTTGCAGAATATGATTTAGTTTTAGGCCAGGATTGGCATATCTGGATCTATTCCCTAGTTCATTTGGGGGGGGGGGTTGTTCTCATTTACTATGCTTTGTACGAACTATAGTCCAGAAGCAGCAGTTTAACTACTGAAAACTTTTGTATAGTCAGAAAACAGATAGGATCTTCTTCTAAATGCTTATTTTGCATGAGGAACACCTTAAATTAGGGAGAGGGGAAACTTTCAAACTTTCTCCTCTCATCTCAGCTACCTAAAATTGCACAGTTAGATGAATTAGATGTTTCAGAACGGTGGGCTTCAATCCAAAAGCTACTGTAGGAAACGTTAATTCAACACCTGTAGGAAAACAGAGTCAGAACGTGAATAAACAAGCCAAAAAAATGCTTGCAATGTAAATTAAGATCCACCGTGTGTGTGCATGTTTGTGTGTGTGTGTGTGCGTGCACGTGTATCTGTCTGTTTGTCTCTGTCTGTCAGTGCAAAGTTTGCAGGTAACTGAAGCATGTAGATGAGCTTAAAACATGAGCTGGGTGTTGCAGACCGTATCGGCGTAAGAGTTGGGAGAGATGCCACAAAGTTGTTAGAACACTGCCCCACACCATGCAGCGCTTTTGTAGGCTAGAAGTGGGAGTTCACAGCTGGCGATTGAGATGTTACTGGTGGGGCTACCAAGCAAAGGGACTTTTTTCATCCCAAACCTGACGAGCTGCTTTGGAAATCGGGGATCATAACATTCAACGTTTATTTATTCTCAAATTGCTATATTCTCCTTGCTTTCTTTTTAGTTGTTTATTCTATTGTCCCAATACTTTGCTACTGTTATATTGACCCTTCTTTTCATTTCTCCGTCGTTATTGTTGTCAGCCGCCTAGAGCAGCCCCACGGCGACATAGGTGGGGCAAATACGTTTAACAAAGAAATAAATGTAACAAATAAATTTCAGTCTTGGGTACCCTGAATTAGCAACGCTGGAGGTATTTGCCAGTTGACTTTAAAAAAACAATTGGGAGAAAATCACCAATGAAGACGTGTGTCGATTTTGAGGGTCCCAAATTGGCAAACCAGCTCTGAAAATTGAAATAGCGAGAGCACTTAGACATATACTACTTCACAGTGTTTTACAGCCCTCTTTTTACAGAGTCAGCCTCTTGCCCACAACAATCTGGGCCCTCAGATTACCAATCATGGAAGGCTGAGTCAACCTTGAGCTGGTCAGGATCGAACACCTGGCAGTCGGCAGAGTCAGCCTGCCGTACTGCACTCTAACCATTGGGCCACCAGAGTTGAGAGCCTATCATTGTGATAGTCTCATTTCCAGCACTGGCCTAGGACAATTTTTAGGACAAACCACAGATTCTGAACTGGGTTCTTTTTCTCCCTGTTCCAGAATTGTCTAGGATGATCCCCTTCCAAGAGAGAAATGGAAGCCTTGGCAACATGGAATGCTTGGACAAGTGTCTGCGGGCCAAAAAAGACCTGGAAGTTGCATTTGCTGAAATTGTCAAAGCCGAACAGCAAGTCAAAGATAACTGGAAAGAGGTATTTGGGATGGGCTTCGAAAGAGGCACTGCTTTGTGGTTCTAATAAGGGGTTAAATCTTTGCTTAAAAGGGCCTGGCTTGGCGAAGATTTTCTTTTAAGCTTCAGGTTTTATGCAGCTCCAGGTAGTTTTCTTGGGGGTTGCAGATTAGGATTCCATCCCGTAAATCTGGGATTTACTAGTGTGGTCCCACCAAAATGCTAACCAGGTTTGACCCTCTTAGGTTTTCCCTAAGTAAGATCATTTAGTTGGTGCCATCTAACTGGTCATCAAGATGGTATGTCTTTCATTTGAGGTACAATTAAAGTATACCTGCTCTTATTGGTAAATTCTTGTATAAGAAACAAATGTGATACATCCTCAGAGCTCAATTTCTCAATCTCAGCACCTTTAAGAACTAAGGTTCATGGTGAACAATGATTAGCTCTTGGCGGGGTGGGGGGGGGGCGGATCTGAATTCCTTAAATGTCTTGCTTAAGTCCCCATCCCTTCCAAGCCATTGGATCATCTTTTCAGTGCAAGAGCCACCTTGGAACTTGGTTGCTGGAAGGAATCCAGGATCCTGGAGGATCTCCTCCTTCCATTGGATGGCAACTCAACCCTGCCTGAATTGCAAAATGTGGGGATAGGAACAGGAGGGACGAGAGATCTGAATGGGAATAATAGGATTATAGAGATGTTTTATGGGAGATTTTCCAATTCTTGTCCCAAAGGTGCTTTTTTCCCCCTTTTTCTTTTTTTACAAAAGGCAACTGGACTACCTTGGGGTTTTTCTTTTCTTTTCTTTGAAAACATTCTCATCTATGAAGCTTCTTCAGTTCAGTTCCAAGAAGGTCCAGTTGCCTTTTGGAAAAGCATCTTTGGGAGGAGAATGATAGAGGTGGCTTCTTCTCTCTTTAAAGGTAAAAGCTCAGGTTCACAGCTGCATCAGTCGCCACCTGGAATGCCTACGAAGCCGCGAAGTTTGGCTGTTGGAACAGGTTGACCTCATTCAACAGCTGAAGGAAGAGGCTTTGCAGCAACAAGCGCAGCAGCTCTGTTGGGTAAGAGCTGATGGGCCTTTGGATCTTCTTCCTGAGTCCAGAATGACGGGAACTTTGCCTTGGCCTTGTGCTGTTTGTTTGTGGCACAAGGCTGCAGCTTCGTATCTGAACCTTAGGTGATGCTGGCTCATCCTGTTCCTAGTGAGGTCATGTATTTTTGTTTAATTTCCAGTTGTTGGGACAATTCAGCAGCCTCATCCGCCAGCTGGAACAGCCTCAAAGCGGTGATCTCACAAATCAGATTTCGGCGTGTTTTGAGAGGTGAGCCCTCCAAGAGACTTTGAATGATCGTTTGTTTATTTATCTTGGTCGTTTTCCACGCCATTGTGGACTGTGACATCAACCTTTCTGGTTCTATCATGCAAAATGAACCGGAGTGTTAATTTTGGAGATATTACCACCTCTGTGGGTGGAAATGGGGGATTTGAAGATTCAATTTTCTGCATAAAAATTGCTTGATTTTTTTTTGTTTGGGAAATGGCTTACCGCCTTTGTTTCTTTCTGAATTCTTTTGCCTTCTCCCCTAAGTCTTGGCAGTTTGACTCTCCAGCCAGAAGAAACTTCCGTCCTGAACTTTGAGGCTGACGTAGCATTTCTTCGCCAGGCAATCACTTCGTTCGGCTCCATTAGAACAATGGTGAGCAAAAGGAGCTGTGTCCTCATGCAGGGATTTTCAACCTTCTCACAGATTGGGCCACTTTTAGGACATGGCAGTATTCCAATACCACCATTAGTTTAGCAAAGTATCAAAAACCTAATGACTAAAAAGAAAGAAAAAAGTTATGACTTTTTAAAAAGTACTTACCACACTTTTAATGGGAAGCTTGTGCCTTTTTCTAGGACATTAAACTTTGCACTGGAGAGTTGGCGACCCCACAGCTTCACTGACTCTCCCACGGGCTCATCCTCCCTGTTCAACCCTTGTGTAGGACAGGGCTTTGCAACCCGTGGTACAGGTACCACATGCCAGGTGCTGAAGTATCACCAGTGGTCCATGGACCAGGGGTTGAAAAGGCCTGTTCTAATGGGTGCAACTTGGAAACCTACACAGGTAGTCCTTGACAGGACAATTCATTTAGTAACTGAAGTTACAAAAGACCCTGAAAAAAATAATTTCGTACCATTTTCTTCTACTTATGACCATTGCAGTACCCCCACGGTCATATGATCAAGATTCATTTATAGCGGTCGCAACGTCCCGGGGTCAAGTGATCCCCCTTTACAACCTTCTGACAAGCAAAGTCACTGGGGAAATTGATTCACTTAACAACCATGTTAGTTACTTAACAATTGCAGTGATTCACCTAACTGGCAGGAAAGATCATAAAATGGGACAAAACTCACTTAACAATTATATCCTTTAACAAGAGAAACTTTGGGCTCAATTATGGATCCTAAGTCAAGGACTAACTAATGAAAACCCAGGTTCCTGAACAACCACGAAGGCTTATATGGAGACTGGAGTTTATTCCATCTCTTTCAGAACACTTGTCTTGAAATAGCTACCATATTCCTCCCAGACTTTTTCAAATTCCAAAAGATAAGTGACTCTATCTGTTATTTCTAAATGTGTGAGCAGTTAACTTTCTGTTTGTTTGAAAAAATGGCTTATCATCTCTGTTTTTTGTTTTTTTTTAATAGCAAACTTCCGATAAAGACGATTCTGCCCCTTGGATCTCTGTGCAGAACTGTCCTGTGACAGCTAGTTTCGAAAAGGTGAATTGCAGATTTGTTTAGAGGAACTAAAATTAGAGGGAGGCGGCAGCAGAGTTTTCAAACTTTGTCTTCTCTTGCAGTTTGCTAGGAATGCCAATTTGGTCTGGTCTGGTGGATAAGGCTAGAAATAGCACTTAGCAATAGCACTTAGACTTATATAACACTTCATAATGCTTTACAAGCCCTTCTAACTGATTTACAGAGTCAACAATCTGGGTTCTCATTTTACCAACCTTGGAAGGATGGAAGGCTGAGTCAACCTTGAGCTGGTCAGGATTGAACTGCTGGTAGTTGACAGAATTAGCCTGCAATACAACATTCCAACCACTGGACCACCAAGCCTCTAGGGAGATGATCTAAATCCTGCCTTAGCTATGAAAGTCAGCTGGTTGACTTGGGCTAATCACTCTCTCTCTCAGCCCAACCCACCTCCCAGGGTTGTTGTTATGAGTGAAAATAGGAGAAGGAAGGTGTGATAGATATGTTTGCTGCCTTAAGTTATTTTGGGGGGGGGGGGAAGGCAGGATATAAATCAATACATTAAAAAAATGTAGTGTTCCAGGAAGAGAGATTAATTTATCTCCACAAGAGAACATACAATTGATCTGTAGGAACATAATTTTAAGTCCTTAAAATGCACAAATAGGCTGGTGGTTGTTCAGAATTCAAGTCTAAAGAAAGAATTATTCTAAAATCCAGAAATTTTCAGTGGCACAAACACCCGAACATTCTCCTCAACGAGGCTTCCAGAAACTTTTATCTATCCTTGAGGGGAGACAGTGGATATTCCCAGGGTGGGTTTTGTCTGGGATTAAACTGACCTTCAGTTTGTTCTTGATTACTAGTCAAAGCCTTTCCGTGGAACGCTGGGTTGCCCTCTCTCTGACTGGCTTCTTGGAACCAAATCCGATGGTGCATGCTGTATCCCTTATGCTCCTAGCTACAAGCAGGAGGACTGGCTCTTGAAAACACCTACTGAGGAGGCCAATCAGGTATTGCCATCTACTGTCTTCATTTATAGAGAAGGAGGGATTCTGGTCATGTTGGAAAAGATGGACCCAAATACATAGCCAAATGGTTTATTTTCCAAGAAATGCTGACATAACGACTCTGAATATTGGGGGTTTCTTCCTGTTGTTAAGGAGTGTAAGGTTTCATGGTATGATGGGCAACAAATCAATCTGTCTGTCTCCCAAAAGAAGTGGAACTGGTGGATCCAAAGTTGTTGTTCTTGGAACATTGAGAGTGAAATGGGATTTGTAATCTTAATCTTGCTGCTGTTTTCCCAAAAAATAGCAATAGTGCTTAGAATTATTACACCCCTCTTAAGCGGTTTACAATGTAGAAGCATTATTTGCTTATTACGCACACACACACACACAACACACACAGTCTGGGTCTTCATTTTACCGACCTCGGAAGGGTGGAAGGCTGAGCCAATCCAGCTCAAACTCTAGGCTGTGGACAGAGTTAGCCTGCAATACTGCATGCTACCTTGATGGATCTAAATGCTTGTGGTGTCGTCTTCTCCTTAGGATTCCAAGCCTTTGGAAGTGTGTTACTTGGAGAAAGCATGGGGAGACCTGAGAAATCTGGAGAACTGGCTTTTGCAGAACCAACCGCGAGACTTTTCTGAGAGAACGGAGCTCCGCCGACGGAAGAGCTCGACTTCTACCATTGCTTCCACCTTGTCCATTGAGAAGATTAATGAGTTGGAGCTCTTTGAGCAAGATGACACTGATCTTTCTGAATGGCTCCTCGTGCCTTCTGAACCCCAAAACGAGAATGCCTCCGATGAGAAGTGGAAATGGGTTTTTAAGTCTTTCCGGGAGGAATATAACCCGAACGATTGGCTCCCTAAAAATGATTCTTGCAATCATTGTTGCGGCGGTCAAGCCACCGGGGTAGAGATAGAAAATCTCGGCAATCTGAAATGCCTTAATGAGCACCTGGATGCGAGGAAGCCGCCGAACACCGACAGCTGGCTTCTGCAGCAGCCCGCTTTCAGAGTCGAGGACCTATGCAGAGCCAATGAGCCGTGTTCCAGCTTTTCCGAGTGCGCGTGTGACGAGAACTGTGAAAAGGAAGCCTTGTGCAAATGGCTTCTCAGGAAAGAAGGCAAGGATAAAAACGGGATGCCACTAGCGGAGGTCTCCGAACTCGAGGCACGTCTGCCTGTGCTGAACATCTGGCTCCATCCTTCTCGACAAGCAGAGGGGGATTCAGCCAGTTCTGCCATAAAACAGGACACTGTCCGGGAGGTGGCAGAACCTCTGAGAGAATTGCAGGAGACCTCATTATCCTCTTGGCTAGCTAAGCAAGAGGTCAAAGAGAAGACCGGCGAAGAGAAGGCGATCCGAGAGGAAGCTGGAGTGAGCCATAAAGGTTCCCTCCTGGAACTACTTGCGCCCTTCCACCTCCCTTTCAACATAAACAGCTGGATCTTGTCCTCAAAAAATGCAGATTTCTCCAGCCAGCCTCTCGTGGAAGATAAATGGCTGCTCCGTAAGAAAGCACACGTAAGGAAGAACCCAGTTCCTTTAACCCGCCGAAAGCGCTCTGTGGCATGTTTTAATATAACCCCGGGGGCTCCTCAAAACATGGGGTGCCTTTAAGACGTGGACTTCAACTCCCAGAATTCCCCAGCCAGCTTTGCTACAAGGAATTCTGGGAATTGGAAGCTGCCAAGTCAGAATAGCCTTCACTGGAGAGGCAGTTAACTTTGGTGCCCTCCTGGCCTCTGTTTTATTTGGAAATACGAGACGAAGACCGGTAAGTTTTCTGATCTCACAGAAGCCAATTCTTGTTTCTTACAGGACAGCGACCTTCCTGCTGTTTGCGACCTCTTTGCCTGTATGAAGTTGAGTGGAGAGAGAGAGAAATGGCTCTATCAGACACCTTTGCAGGTAAATGCCTCTCCGTCAAACAAAGTCCACCCAGTTGCATTCTCGCTTTTTGGCTTAACTAACTTCTCCCACAAGACCCCATTCAAGCCAAATCCGCGTTTTGAGAACATGAGGGTTGGTTAGATATCCATTCACTATGCTAGGTTAGAACTAAGCTTTCTGCTTAATTTTAGCCTGTTCAGAGTCCAGTTCTTTTCCTTTCTGTCTGTGATGGAAAGACGCAGAGATGTTGAAAGCAACACCCCGGCTTATTTTTAACATCGAAATGTTAGTGTCTAGCTTTCTCATAAGATGCTAATCCAACCAGCATGCTTCTTTTTGTGTTTCGAGAAAATGTGTTGATTCTTAACTGGAAACCAGCAGCTGATTCCAGTGGAAGGTCATGTGGGTTAGGTGTGTCATTTAATGGGGTGAAAATTAATTTTTGCAGATTTTTTAGTGAGGGTGTGTGTCTAAAAATAGGAGTTTTACATCAACATACACCTAATGTGGCTTTTGACAGTTCATTCAGGGGAGGCACAAGCATCAGTTCGCAACGCTAAAAGAGCTGATTCCCCACAAAAGGCTACGGGTTCTCAACAGATAGGCTGCCCAGATGCCCCATCTTCCTGGCTAAGCATTCAGGTTGCACAAAGCTCCCCTATAAAGAATGGGGCAGGCAGGGCTAAGCACGATTGATCAAATCTTCTCCTGAACATCAGCAATGCCTTTGCGGTTTTGAAATATTCTTACTGGTTGACCCTGATTAGCATTGTTTTTGTTTTAACACCACCATTCTGGGTTTGTTTCCTAGATGTGAAAAAAGTAAAAAACAACCACCCTGCAGTGTGATCCAAACGATTGCTTTGATTTCCTGCTGATCATCGCACATAACCCTGGAATGAGCGACTGCGGCCTGTCGCTTCTCCTGTGTTTTTTGACCATCTGTCTTTTCCAGATTTCAAATGTCACTTTAAAAGCTGTATGTAGCTGGTGTTGAGCTGCAGAAAATGGACCTTTGAGTCCTCAAACAGAAGTGTCCTTGTTGGGTTCTCTTGATCCGGGACGCATTGCAACTCGTCTCACAAAAGCCGTTAAATCTAAGTATTTTGCCAGTATTTTGAAACAAATTCTGACAGGATGACCCTTAGCTGGGGTGGGAGAGGCAGAATTTTGTTCAGAGAACACACCATTGGCCCTTCTTTCCACTCCTAATTCTAAATATATTTACAGAACATGTTCACGAGGTACAGCTCTTACGAAGTCATTAAAACACTTCTGAATTCTGTGTTCTGTATAATTTATACGTACTCTTCTCCGCTGAAAGACAACAGCATGCCCTACAGATTGGCATGGGCACCTGGCAAATTTGGCAATATCCTGATTAACGTGACTGGGATGGGAAGGAGAGCAGGCAAAATTGAGCACAGAGTGGATGAAATGTGTGTGGTTTTAAAGCCCAGTACTAAGTACAAGCTGAATCCATCGTATCGCAGAACAAAAATTAATGTTTATTTCTCTCACGCTATGAATTATAGTCCCAATAGATTGACAGTAGCCTTAGAAACTTTATGAAATTTGAATACCACTACCTGCTTCCACAATTTGTGGGGGCAACTTTGATAAGTTGTGATGCTAAAATTTTAATTTTTTTAAAAAAATGAAAAATTCATTTTTTGAAGTGCTCTTGGCTTACAGGTACTTTTAATTGCTAGACATTTTACAAGCATAATAGGCCTTCCAGCTGTCATAAGAATTGACTACTGCATTCTCAAAAATCTGTTAAAATCCACTCATTTGACTCATTTGCCTTTCAGTGCTTAACAACGTATCTGGTCAGGTTTCTGAGGGGTCTGTGGAAGGCCTGACTGATATGTAATGCAATCAAACCCCCGCTGTCTTTTACATTAATCCAATGTGTGTGATGCTAATGAAGTATGCCATTAAACCATTGTGAATAAAAAGTACATTTGCGTGAAGTTATTCTTTTCATAGCTCTGTGGATGGGATTGATCAATTGAAGGTAGAATCTGGGTTGGCCACTGGAACCACAGATGTCCTTTTCCAAGCTTTTGGGCTAATCTTGGAGCACATCTTTGAGGAACGCCTCTCTACTGGAATATAGTGCTTTGGGCTATTCCATGAGTTGTGTTTATGTGGTGCCTTCCTATTTGCTCACACACAACTCACAGAACAGCCCAAAGCACATATTGCAGGTTCCCTAAAGAAGCTCGGGAGAGCAAATCCCTGGTCCTGGTGACCAAAGCAGTTCCAGCTGTGTATCATCCTGGGACACGCAGGCTTGCCTTCATTTGTGGCTTAATGTCTGAAATCTATGAAATGCCTAAGCCCTGCTCTCTCACACACTCACATCAGAGTGGATCAGATTCTCTTAGGCTTCACAGAGGTAAGCTATTAGATAAGCATCAAAATGCTTATCTAATGTAATAATGTAATTCTGGACCTTTTTATACCATTTTATCTGCTGTTGATGGGAGAACTGCAAAATTTTATTCAATGTTTTGTTTGGCTCTTCAAAAGCTGTTTTTCCTTACAGAACAGGGAATGTGTTCTGGAACAGAAAGAGCCGGACTTGGAGTGTCTTGGTGAATATATGGGCATATCTGGGAATAGTTTACTGTGGTTGCATCCCATGGTGTTCTCCATTTCCCAGGGTGATCTGCAACCATCCGGGTATGGACCCTGCTGAACGCCCCCAATCACCACGAGCCATTTGTGGCCGTGACAAGGTTTATGGTGTTGGGCGCCATAACCTTACAAAAAGAGGAGTACGGTATGTGAGATGTGGCTCCCGCTGCTTTTCTACAAAAGCTTATTAGTAAAGGGTGGTGTTCAACAACATAGCAGAGCTCTTTTGAACTGTTTTAAGTGGCTGAGAGTGGCAAGAGAAGAGAAATCTACAATGTAAACAGGAGGAGGGGGTGAAGGAAGAGCCAGGCATTTCCAATCCATTTTGAAAGAACTTTACTTAAAAGAAGCCATCAAACCTTGGTCTATATACACTCTAGAAACAGACTTAAAGCAATTGTTTCCCAAACTTTCTTAAAACATGCACTCCAACCTTTATGTCTATTAAGGATTGTCGAAAATTACCAGATCAGGTTTTCAGCTCAGCATCCAGAAAACTCTGTTAAAGAACACTATGGTGTGACAAGCATGTCAGTAAAAGGAAAGTGGTGCCCTTGACACACCTGCTGGTTTTGTGTATGCACTGTGAGCGCAACGTTCGTCTCCCTTGCGCCAAAGTATTTCCTACCTACCTTGAATGCTGGCTCCCGATACTCTGCTGAGGCCGGGCTATGGGTAGGAGCTTTTAGAAACATCCGTGTGACACGCAGAAGTCAGTTTTTCAGCACACACATTTATTACAGTCAAATCAAGCAATGGTCTCGATGTACAAACTGAGCGAAAGTGAACATGCTTATGAAGATGAGATCTTCCTCTTGGCAGATAACATGGCCCTTTTCACCAGCTGCTGCTCAAGAACCAGGCCATAGCCGTGAGAACCGGTGGTCTTGAGTATGGGGGTGGCTGGGTGTCCGCTAGGTACTGCAATGGTGAAGGGGGTCAGGTCTGATTGCACTGCATGAGTGGAGGCTCTGTCCTGCGCTCAGAGGGACTGCTGCTGCATGGAGCCCCTCATGTGCTCCCAGTTGTTATAGAGCGCGTAGAGACCTGTGAGCATGAGTCCTGCAATGCCACCTCTGGCTATCCCACGCAATCCACCTGTGAGGATATGAAGCAACAGTAAATACAGACATGTCAGCAGCCAGCGTTGAGCAGTGAACTTTCTTCCCCCAAGCAAGGCAAGCACGAGACAGGCAGCAAATAAATTAAAATAATAATAAAGTAAAATATGCAACCAGAGCAAAGGACGTGCAATACGATATATCAAAGTCAGGTTGAAGCAAGAAGAGGTGGGAAACACAACTGTTTTCACATCAAACATAATTTTGAGTTTGCCCTGAAACACATGAAAAGGCAAAACTGAGCCAATGGGCGGGGAATTCCCAGACTTTACTTTCTAACCCTTCTTCCCCTTCTGTCTACCAAGCGATAGGCTTCTGCGGTTCTCCTCCACCCCTGCAATCAGCCTCCTGCTTGGATGAGATAGCAGTAGACTCTCCACCACCACCAGCCTCACAAAGCGAGTGTTTGTCATCACCTCTCGCAAATGCCTACGCCAGCTTTTTTATTTTTTATTTTAAAAAGGGTTTATCCTGACAACTATATCTGGATTTTTCTTCCCTGCTAGTAAGGTCTCTCCGGAACACAGCCCCCTGCGTCTGCAAGCGATATATGCCACTGTTGTCTTGTACACAGGTAGCAGTTAAGAAAAAAAGCAACACCACGACTGGATGGCAACTGTTGGGTTGGTTGTCTCCGTGAGAATGCACAAGTCCTGGTCGATACAAGCATAATAGGTTGTCTTGCTGCAGCTGCTACTCAGATCAGAAGATTTCAAAACCGCAGAGCAGCTCTGTTTGTGTGTGTGTATGTGTGTGTGTGTGTTTTGTCTCCAAAGACTTGTGGACTTCAACTCCCAGAATTCCCCAGCCGGTCATGCTGCAGAGTCTGTTTGTACCCTGCAGGACCAGCAGTCTAATCTTTCTCCGTGTGTGGTGAATATTAACTTTCCTATCTCTTGGGAAGAGCAGGGGCCCACCAGAGATAAGTGGATTGACAAGCCACGCCCAGTTATGCAGATGTTATAAAGAAGTGATGATATAGTGACCTCTGACTCAACTGTTGAAATGCGCAGAAGCTGTTCACTTTCTGTGGGCCTCCAGCTATGGAGAAGCTGCATGACTCCATTTGCACAGGTGTCTCCTTACCCTATGCAATCGGAAGCAGTTTCCTCCCCAAAGGGAAAGTGTGCAATGGGCAGTCCAGCTGATTGGGGAGGGGGGACTGGCATTCTGCTTCCCCCAGTAAAAGAAATTGGGAGAGGCAGGGAAATGGTGCTGTCTTGGCCATGGTGTTATCCCTGGGATCTAGACTCCAGGGGATGGGTCTGGGGCCAAAGAGTCCTTCGGGAGCCATTGGGGGTACATCCAAATACTTGGGTGCTAAACAGTCTTGTGATATTCAGAGTGCAAGTCCCACAGTATACAAAGGCTCAGATTCTGAAACACCAGGACACAATCTGATCCCAAAGGGCCTTTTAAGTGCCAGTCAACTGCCATAAACTAGGTCAGTGTGACAAGCATGTTGCAAAACATGCTTCAAGAAGAACAAATAAAAAACATACAACACAACTCTATGAAATAACATCCTCATGTGTCCTGACAAGTATCCGGGTGGCCCTCATTCCCAGGGTAACTTGCTGCCTAGGGTTTTACAAGTTCAATGATTGGACAGGCATTTCCCTCAGGTGATGTTAAGCTCCCACTGTTGCTGACTCAAACTTCTAAACAAGAAGCAAGGTGAATACAGAACAACCTTGAGTTAACCCACTCGTTGGGGAATGGGGGAATCCGTTATTCCAGACTGACTGTTAAATGTGGAAGTGTGCCATGTATACCACGCTCTAGGTTGTTTGATCCCGTTACAAAAATTTAAGCATTCTGCATTGTCTTCTGCTACTCCACCCGTGGTCCCTCCATTGCCTCTTGTTTCAAGTGTGCCCTTGAACGAAGTTCTGCTAAGTTGAACAAGGCAATGTCTGTAGTAGCCTAGCTATAAAATTTAAAACACACAATGACTGAACATTTGCCAAAATTTGTAATGTTTCCAAAAAACATCACAAACTCAAAGTATCTTAACAGACATTAGCGCCTTCCCGTTATAAGTCACAGGCAGATACCCTGCACGGAAGAAACAAGTGTTTGCTGCCAAACCTCTGCTGACCGGGTCTGTTTCGCTCAGCACTCGCAATGAAGCCCAGTGCCGCACAACTGCATCAGCCGTCTCTGGGACAGAGACTGGCAGAGCCCCAGACGGCCCAGTAATGTGTAACACTGTCAGAGACATGGAGTCAGACAGCTGACTCCCACTGGAAAGAAGTCCCCCTTCCCTCCAAAAAAAGAGAGTAAGGTCAGCTTCTTCAGGACATGAAGGAGGTCTTCCATGTGGGGGGGAGATGCTCTGCCTTGTGTTAAAGAGCCCTCAAAGCAGAGGAAATCCAAGAGTCCCTGTTCATCAGGCAAGGCTTGAAGAGAAAACAGGGCTTCACTGGACTTTACTGGTCAAGTAGTCCTTGATTTAAACAGTTCACATTTAGTGACTGTTCAAAGTTACCTTTTTCATATTTATGACTGCTGCGGGACGTCCATGGTCATGTGATCAAATGCAGATGCTTGGAAACTGACTCATATTTATGATAGTTACGGTGTCCTGGTATCTCGTGAGCCTCTTTTGTGACCATCTGACGAGCAAAGTCAATGGGAAGGGCGGATTCATTTAACAACCAGGTTACTAACCTAACCACTGCAATGCTTCTCTTAACAATTGTGGCAAGAAAAGTTGTAAAGTGGGGCAAAACTCACTTAACACAAGTCTCACTTAGCAACATAAATTTTGGGCTCGTGTGGCTGTATGTTGACGACTACCTGCATATTATCTTGATATTTAATGTCTATGACACTTTGTTTCGAACAACATATTAAATGGCACTTTGCAGACAAGAGGCCGATTTTTTTATCTAATGGACATCGTTAATGCAAGAAAGGGTGGCCAATATCGGGCGTCACTCTGAGGACAAATAAAACAAAGCTGCCTTTTACGATTTAAAGTTCACTTTATCTTTAAGCAAATAGAACAAATAGCTTTATTGCATCCAATAATGCCTGACTAAGGCTGAATGGAAGAGGGGGCTGTAAAAGCTGCACTAGGGAGAAGTTCAGGCAAACAAAACTTTTCCCCCACAGCCTTCGGAGCGGCCAAGGCAGTCAAGCCAAGAGTTTCCCTCAGCTGGGAGGGGCTTTCTGGGAAACCTTCACCGGGCAGTCAGCAGGGTCAAAGGTCAGGTGGAGTTTAGAGTTTAGCCACCCGTCAAGACTCCCTTATGGAGAGCCAGAGGAAGAATTAAGAACGGTGCCTTGTGCGGTCAATGCTTCTTGTCTAGCTGTGTTGAGTCAATACTTATCCTTGACTTACAACAGTTCATTTAGTGACCGTTCAAAGTTACAACGGCACTGAAAAAAGTGACTTATGACCGCTTTTCACGTTTACCTTTGTAGCATCCCCAGGATCATGGGATCAAAATTCAGGTGCTCGGCAACGACACGCACTTATGACCACTGCAGCCTCTTGGGGATGGGGTGGGGATTGTCACGTGATCCCCTTTTGCAACAAGCAAAGTCCATAGGAATTCACTTAACAACCATGTGACTAATTGAATAACAGCAGCGCTTTGCTTAAGAATCGTAACCTGGGGCAAAACTCAGTTAACCCCTGCCTTGCCTAGCAACAGAACCATGGGGCCCAATTGTGGCCAGAGTGGCTTCGCTGCCGTCCTCCCCACTTCCACCCTACCTGTGCTCTTATACAGCATCCCTGTCATGGTGCCGGCTGCAACTGTGTTGAGGTCATCTTCGGCCCCCCGTGTTTTCTCCACGATGACGCCAAAGGCACTGTAGAGCAACGCTGGAAGGAAACCAGGCGATCCGTCAGGGCAGCCGGGGACACAGCCCCACTTTGTCCCCCCCCCCAATTTCCTCCTCAGGGTGGGCTTGGGGAGAGGGGACATTTCTTAACCTGGGCAAAACCCAGTTCCCTGCCTGCCCTTCTCAAGGGCCTCATGGCTGCAGGCTGACCAGCAGGGGCTGCGAAAGGGAAAGAGCTGCCCTCCCCTCCAGAATCTCAGCTCAGATGAGGCCTTCAGGAAGGGCTGCTGTCTTTGTATACAGGAAGTCCTCGACTTAGAGCAGTTCATTTAGGGACTGTTCGAAGTTAAGAACAGCATAGAAAAAGTGACTTTATGACCGCTTTCCACCACTACGACCATTGCAGCATCCCCATGGTTAAGCGATCAAAATTCAGATGCTTGCCCGTTGACTCCTATTTAGGACTGTTGCAATGTCCCCGGGGGAGGGTATCACGCGACCCCCTTTTGCAACCTTCTGACAAGCAAAGTCCACGGGGAAGCCGGATTCACTTTACAGGTTACTTGCTTAAATGCAGAGATTCACTTAACAACTGTGACAAGAAAGGTCATAAAATGGGGGCAAAACTCATTTAATAAATGTCTCACTTAGCAACAGAAATCTGGGGCTGAACTGTGGCTGTGAGGACTGCCTGGATTTGATCAACCACCCTGTTCCTGCATGCTTGGCAGCATCACCACCACCACAACCAGCCAAATGTGAAGAAGGGAGGGGTTTCCCATCTTCCCTGGAAGCTCCTCCTCCTGCCCTGTTGCTGGAAGGGAGCAGCTAGAGGAGCCACAGGCACCTCTTTCTTCAGCAATGGAGGGCTGGGCAGATTTCTTCTCCCCTTTCGAACTGGGATCCAATTCAAAAAGGGTTTTTTTTTTAAACCTAGCTCCACCCTCTGAAAGCAAAAACCATGCCAAGCACGTCAAAGGCCTTGGAATGCCGATTGCTCACTCGGAAGCCGCTGTTGTTTACCTTCTGAGTCCCTCTGGGAATAGGGCGGCATATAAATACAATAAACCTTATAACCTTATCTTCTCTTTTTAATAGTGGTAGACAATTCAATTTGGCCAGAGGAAAAGAAAAAGAGTGCACTCATCTTGTGCTTGGTCCTTCTGCTGGTGGTGATGCTACGGTGGAGGCCCCTCATCCCACCAGATCAGACCCACGGGAGACCGGAACAGTGGGTGCTGCCATCCACTGCTATGATGGTGCATTGGTTGGAAGGCAACACGGCAGGTTGTCTCTGCCAATTGCTGGCAGTTCAATCCTGACTGGCTGAAGGTTGACTTGGCTTTCGGTCCTTCCCAGGCCAGTAAAATTAGGACCTGGATTGTCAGGGGAGAGATGCTGACTCTATAAAACAGCTTAGAGAGGGCTGTAAAAAAGTGTGGAGCGATATAGAAGTCTAAGCGCTGTTGCTAGTGCTGTCAAGCGAACCCCTCCTCCTGAAATTCATGTTAGACTCAAAGACCCTGTACACACACGTACACAAACCCAGATCCAATGATGGAAGCCCGGAGAGTTGTCTCTTTGTAGCTTTCAGTCTTGAAACAAAACATTTATCAGGCAAATGAGATGGCAAGGTCTGATCTGGGGATGGCAAGGTCTGATCTGGGGATGCGCAGCAGCCGGTTAGCCGGAGCCGAGTCCTAAAAAGACATTTTCTCATCTTCACTTCTCTCTCCAGTAACCTATCAGCCTGCCGAATGTATGCTATTTGCACAAAAGCAGGTCAGGGCAAAAGATCAGGAACACAGAGAAATGTTGCCCAAGATAAAGCAACACAGCTGTGAAGAGTCTGTTAATGTATCACTGGATCGATTGAATTTTGAACCCAGTCATCTTTGAGCCGAAATCTTAGGGCTTGTTTTCCAGGGTGGCAATCTAGACCTGCCCCGTAGGCAGCGTGTGGGGTGAAGTGAGCAGCACAATAATCAACAGCTTCAATCCATTAATTTGGAGTGAAAGCACTCTTCTGGTGCTTTCTACTTACGGCCATTTGTTTAGTAATTGTTGCTACAGCACTGAAAAATAGGGGCTCAGGACCGTTGCAGCATCCCACAGTCCTGTGGTCAAAATCTAATCACTTGGCAACTGGCCAGGTATTTACAACAGCTGCAGCATCTTTGAGGCCACCTGATCTTCTCACTTGCCATCTTCCCAGCTCGCTTCTGCCAGCAGCAAAGTCAGTGGGGAAAGCCAGAATGGTTGAACAATGGGGTGACTCATTTAATCATTGAAGAAAAGGCCATAAAACGGGCTGTGACCCATTTAACACGGCCTTGCAATGGAAATACTGATCTCGATTGCAGTCATAAGTCAAAGACTATCTTTATGCCAGTCTGTCGGCTTGTAAGAGCTTCTGGATCCCTCACACAGTTCCAGTTGATCTTAAAGTTTCCTTCTCTTTTAGCCTCCTAGAATTTACCTTTTTTTAAAAAAACAAACAAACAGTGTTTTGTAGATTTAGTTTGTGAAAGAAGCCTACTTACCTAGAGATCCAAGAGTGTTTGCCCACAATGCTCCTTGCCGTGTCACCATATTTAAAATCCTTCAAGAAAGTAAGAGGGAAGTTTAGTGTGACGCCCAAATAGGTCAATTTAACATGGCCTGCCAATACCCTGTCTTATATAACTTGTTTTACATGAGGCAATGGTAATTAAAGGATGAACCAAGCCTTCCCACGAAAAAGAACGGTGTGTTACACAAACATTTCCATGTAATTTTACCATCTAATACCTGGATTAGCAATGGAGCAAAAGTGATTTCCTGCCAACATGTTTATCTAACTTTAAGGCAGTTGGTATTGTCAGTAAATCTGGAACTTTTGTGTAAATCAAATTCGGTACTACCCAATCGATCTGTGGCCAAAAAACTGCACTTGCATAATTAGCATTTACTGCAGCACAATCAATACAAACAGCAATTATTTCAACAATAAACAGTTTAAACCAAGTAGCGAATGAACCCTGAATCCTGGAGAATCACAACTAGTATCTCACAAGGCAAATGATCATGTACATGAAAAACAAGGCAGGTTCCTAGTAGATCCTCACTTAAGGATCTCTTTAGCTTCTAATTTTTAAACTGGAGAAAAGCACTGGGCATCCACATGTTACTAACCTCCGCCCCTCCACCTTTCCTCTCTCTCTGTTTCCACCACTGTAAGGACTTGGCCGGTAGAAGACTTTCCTCCCAGGCTACTTTATATAATAGGAAAGTATGTGCCAACCATTTTATTGCCAGGTGCTTTTTCTGACAACTTGTCCTCAGTGAATGAGCACAGGCCGAACCAGTGAGACAGCACAGAATTGCATCATCTATCATCACTCTTCCTGACCAATCGGGGTGCCTGCAGGCCATCCCAAGAGTCTCTTCCTAGGGAAATTCAGTATCTGCAATGTGGTTGGTCTGGGGAGAGCAGATCAGGACCAAGAAGGAATCCCAGCTGGGGCCAGCCTGCCACAAGGCCAAGTCGGTTTGGTGATCTGTTTAGGTCGGGGTGTCCAAACTTTTTGCAAGGAGGGCCAGATTTGGTGAGGTGAAAATGTGTGGGGTCAACCATTCAGCCTGACATTCTTTGAACATTAACATTAAATGCAAATGCACTATTTTATGGAAGACTAAACAAGTAACTCCGACGGGGAGAAGAGGCTGCGGGCTGCTCGAAATTTGAAAACGGACCGCAATTGGCCCACGGGTCGGACTTTGAACATGCCTGGTTGAGGCAGAGCGGGTGATCTGAAAGTGGACAAGCAACTCTGGGCTCAGAGGTGGGTTACTTCCTCGTCAGTTTCAGGAAGCAGCTGGTATGATCCTCCCAAGGATGGATGACTTAATATGGCCCGCCTTTGCTGCCGATGGAGCTGGGTGGTTGTACTTTGGCTAGGCTGGTTTTACTGTAAAATTCATTTTCCAGACTTTTATTTTTGCGTTGCCAACATCTTCCGGTTCCATGTCTGCATTCTGACTGAGAATCAGTCATAAAATTATAAATTGCAGGGCACTGTATCAATACCATAAACATAGAATTTAAAATACACAATGACTGAACATTTGCTAAAATTTATAACATCTAGAAAACATTACAAACTCAAAATATCTTGACATTAGTGTCTTTCCGTTATAAATCAAAGACAGATACCCTGCACTGGAGAAACACGTGTGTGTTTGCTTTCAAAACTGTGCTGACTGGGTCTGTTTGCAATGAAGCCCAGTGCCACACAGGCCACATCGACTGTTTCTGGGACAGAGACAGGGACTGGCAGAGCCCCAGACAGCCCTTTGATCTCCCAGTAGTGTAACACTGTCAGAAACATGGAGTCAGACTCCCACTAGAAAGAAACTCCCCCCCCCCACACACACAAAAAAAAAAAGAAGAGAGAAAAGTCATCTTCTTCAGGACATGAAGGTGGTCTTCCACTTTTTTGGGGGGGGAGGGGGAATGTTCTACCTTGTGTTAAAGAGCCCTCAAAGCAAGAGTCCCTGAAAGTACATTCTCATACGTGGACAAGAGGGAGATGAATATTTGCAGCAACTGCAGTGCTTTGGATACGGCCTGTTATTTCAGTTTCACCTGCTACCAACGTCACTCGTCATTGTAGCTCACTTGCACATACAGAAAGCCAGTTTGTTGAAACTAAAATCAATAATGCAAACAAGCAAAATAACGGTCTGCTTCCCTTTCAGTTCCTCTCCCATCTTTGCAGTGGAACGGTTAGAAGCCCAAAAAGAAAGCAGGAAGAAACCAGGAGTTAAGGAATAACTTTTTAGCTTATTTTTGTATTCTGGTCAAGCTTCTAACTAATCCCCACCAGGGGAAGGACAACAGATAATAGCCGTTTACTGTCAAAGGCATGGTAAGGAATGGTCCACTTTTTTAACAAGAGAGCTTGTTTTCTACCTTTATGGTCCTACTGCCAGAACTCAGAATTCAAACACAAAACATTATGGCTTTATGTGAAATGGACAGGAGTAAAGTCCACGTATCCATAATTTCTAAGCTGAGAAAACGAATTTGCAAAGAAATGTTCTGAAATTTTAATATGACCCGGGGCAACAAATTTATACCCATAGGAGACCCCTAGATGTATGACTATTTTACCAAGCCAGGGCATCCATATAAGAGCCTGCTGGTGGAAATGACTTCTTCTTGGCTTAAGGTAGGGTTTCACAAACTTTAAAATGCTACAAGAAGCCCTCCCCTCAATGCTGCCAATGGTGATGAAAAAAGGGGCTGTTATTCTTAAACTACCAGGGTTCCACAATGGTGAATTTGGTGCTATGCTCTCTTTCCTGGCTCTATGGGACACCCCTGCCCAAATCAGGGCTTCTTCTCTCCTCACTAGGTCTGCATTGTGAATGTGATTTTTCCTGCCTTCTCCAAGAGAAGGTCATCTGAAGGGGAGCTACTCTGTACCTGTCTCTCCCCCTCCAGCATCGTTAGAGAGCCCACACTCACTTCACAGTCTGTATCTGTTTCAAAGTATCTCCAGCAGGCCTACCAGATTCTGTAATCGCTTTGTTCCCTGGGCTATCCATCTGCTGAAGTCACAGGATTCGTTTCTTGCCATGGACATGTATACATCCAAACTAGACTGTGTTGTTTCTCCGTCATAGAACATAAGGGGGTATATGCATAATTTTGTATTTATTTATTGTCATTGTAGCTCCATGCAATGAAGTTTCATTTTAATGTATGGCGATTAGTCTCAAAGTGACAATAAAGTTATCCTGAGTCTTCTAAGTCTATCCTTTTGGCCCCCCAGAAATGCTTGTGTTTGTACCCCTTTTCCCCTTTTGAGTTGTTCGCCGCCCTGAGTCCCTCCCGGAGAAGGGCGGCATACAAATAAACTAAATCTTAAATCTGAAGCAAGGCTGCAACTCCCCCTCCCCTCTTTTACTGTCTTCCTCACAAAGGCTAATTGACACTTGGCGCCATCTGCTGGTTGAAATGATTCCATTCTCATTTGATCATTTTTAAGTCTAAAATAATCGCCAGAGGCATCTAGTTCCATGATGGTGAATCTATGGCGGCTTGTGCCTCCCACCAGCCAGCTGATTTTCGGGTCTCTGCACTGCGTGTTGTTTAATCAAAATGCAGTTAAAATACTATACAAGCCATTGAGAATATAACTATATATATCCAACAGGAACAGGAAGTGCCTCACAGGAGCAGATACAAGTAAATCCTAGAGAGGCAGGAAATGCATAACTGAACAATGAAGATGAATGCTAGAGAGGAATAAAGCTGCATACAAGGCAGACATAACACCTGTAACAGCGTACACATGCATGGGGGGGAGGGTAGGTGTGTGTGTGGCACTCCCTCCCCCGTGACCGCTGCACCTCATTTTTTGGTCCCAGGAAGCAGGGAGGCCTGCTAGGCCCAAAATGGGGCACGGGATGGGGTAGTGTGCATGCATGCGCTGAGTCAAGGGAAGCACGCACGTGTGTGTTTCACACACACATTGTATTATGGGTGTGGGCACACACATGCGTCCTGTTGTGCACTTTCAGCACGCGAGGACAAAAAGGTTAGCCATCACTGATCTAGTTATTAGTCACACTTTTTGCACTCACCCAAGCAGAAAATGCAAAAATATGCCCTCTAGTCTATTTAAATGCAACTGCTATTCCAAAATAAACTAAGAACAATGGTATGATTACATGGCACCATTTTGACTCGAGTCTTTCGACAAAAGTTTATTAAAAAATAAAGTTATTTCCCAGGTTGTGTAAGTCATCCCTTCGAGCCCTTTTTCTAAATTAAGGGTTTTTTTTAAGCAGAGAGGTTTTTAATGAGATTTTTAATATGTTTATCAAATAATAAATTCACCCCAAATTTAAAACATCTTGGCAGAAAAGGGACAGACTGTTTAGGGAATCATTCATGCGCTTCTTTTACATACAGCTCCAATAATTTTAATTTGCCTCAACCTCCTGGACTTTACTGACACAATCAGGAAACCGGAGCAGAGATTAAGCAAACATGTGACACACACTCTGATCTCACATCAAGAATAGCTTTGAATTCTCAAAGCAGAGAAAGAAGTAAATGGCCTCTAATGAAATAAAATACTTACTGTACATTCCTAGGTTTGGACCAAGCCATGTTTTGTGTCTCCTTCAAACCTAGTCTCAAGCCATTTAATGCCCCAAAAGCAGCTCCTATTCGGATAAATCAGAACAGAACAATGTCTAAAACAGAACATTAATCTCATTCTTGTAGTTAAAACCAATAAATTGTTCTCCAACATTACTGTGATATTCAGGGTGGATAAATAGTTTTTTTAAAAAAATAAAAAAAATAAGATTTTAAAAAATTTAAAATGATTTTTTAAGTTTTATCAAATGTATTGCTTTTGGAGTAAAGATCTATCTAAAGATAGTTTTCTATTTAAGAAATTTTTTAAACTAAAGTATTTTAGTTTATTTACTAAGGCTCCATTATCATTACTATTAGTCTTCTCATCGTTCCTATCACCCATCTCCTCCCACTTATGACTGCAGGACTGTAACTTTGTTGCTGGTATTCTTACGATTTATATTGATATTGTTTCCTGATTGCTTATTTGTACCCTGTGACTATCATTAAGTGTTGGACCTTATGAT